ACTCGCGTAAAACTAGGAAATTAACGTAATTCTGAGCGAATTCTACATTCCACATGTCTTTTATCTTACTTTTCTTGTAATGAAGGTTCCGTCTTCCGATTTATTTCAGGCTGCATTCCAAAAGTTGAACGAAGGAAATTGTCCTTTTCATCTTAAAAGTGCTTAGTTGCAATAGCCAAAAAAAAAAGAACAACGCTGAATTGGTGGGAGATGGATTCAGAATCCAACTTCGAACTTTTTCGAAACTTCCATTTGTTTCGAATCGATAGCGAAAAATCTTAAATACAGATAAAATTGAACCAGGAAGGACAAAATATCCAAATAATTTTATTCACGACGATCAGGCTTATCCCCGGGAACGGCTGGTGTTTCCGACGATATTGTTGCTTTTAAAAGTTTCAAAAGAATATTCAAAGCATGTACTACATTTAAAACTGAGAAATTTCTCACATTTTGAAAGTTATGATCACCAAAAGCTATGAAATTTGGAAGCATCAAATACTGTAATATTTTCAGATTTCCTTGTCCTTCCAAATTCACGTGGAGGTATTTGTATTTCGAATCATTCAAACGCTGAATTGAAAATGTGGACCATCAATTTTAAATATTGTATCAGCGAATAAAACTTATTTCCGGAACACGGCTTGGATACAGAAAAACTTAAAAATTTTCACTTCGCAGATTTTCGTACTTGGTCTAAAAGTAGGAAAGCATGATTAAAAATTAAAAATAAAAACGTTGAGAGAGAGCTTCGAATGGATCTCTTGTAGGGGTCGAATATGCGTGATTAAATTAAAATATAAAACCGGATGACCGAGGGAAAAGAAATACGGAATTAGGAAATGAATAAAAAAAAAGACGGAACAGTATATTTCGCACAAAGTTCCGCCTATCCCTGGACTCCCCAATTATCATGTAACAGCGAAATCATAAACCTGCAAGGCGAGATTCTGCGGCGCATGACCGCTAAGGGATATTTTTTCGCCTCGTCTCCGCATCGCGGTTTTCTTTCACCCTTTAATTTTTTCTCATCATAATCTCGACACGAGAGGAAAATAACTGTAAATGATCCACGTGCCGTTTTCTTTATCTATCTGCACTTCGCCGCAACGATTGTATAAATTTATCTCTTCCAGGCAATAGAAAAGTTTCGAAATGCATCCGAGAACAAGTATCAAAGAGTCGACCAACGGAATTCGGGCCGGGGGAAATCGGGTCATAATATGCAGCCTCGTTATGAGCGGAATTTCAATGAAAATTCGTCGAATCGAACAGCCAGTATATTCCAAAAAACGAATCCCTGAATCTCACAACAGTTCACTGATCTTTGCAAGCACAATGAAGCCTGTCTATCTTCGAAATATTCGTGACATGGGTTTTTGTTCCACGGCGATGAACTGGGGCAGTTGGAAATAGATGTTTTGCTATAAGCATGGTCACGACTTTTTTTTTAGCGCAGTACCTTGATATGAAGCTGTTTAGGTACGCAAATACAGTACTGTATATGATTCACATCTCCCGATACATTGTGGAATGAATATCATTCATTTGTAGGAAACCTGCGTTCCTTTGCCAATTAGAGTATTATTTTTTCAATTGTTGCCTTGACTTGGAAAACTTAACATTTACAGAAAAAATCCTTAGAGGCTTAGACTACCTTCACATTACTAATGCACAATTTTTTTTAAAGAAACATGGTAACAGAAGGCATATCGTGACCATTTATTATTGGTATGTGGTTTGAATTATTTGGTACTACATGTACCTATAGATTGCCTTACAGAAGTCATAAAACATGCAGAGGCAGCAGTTACGAGTAAAGGCAGTTTCTAAAAATGATACTGTAGTTTGATTTTTCCACTGTTCATTTTCTTCATTTAATTTCAAGCTGAAAGAATAGTAACATTTATTAAAAAAAAAAGGATCAAAAATCGGTATATGTTCAGTAATACTTAATTAATACATATACACTCATTCAAAAAACGAGCAAAAAGTCAACAAAATGCATTTTGAAAGTCTTAATTTCTCAGGCTTTTGTTGTCTTCACAAAACAGATGAATGAATACAACCTTTTTCAGATTTTAAACGATCAAATTTTAACGCAAATTCCAATCAAAACGTTTGTTTGACGGCAGCAAAAATGCTCAATATTTCAATAAGCACATTTGGTTTTTTTTTCCTACAGAGATATTTCGTCTCGGAAAACACGAGCAAAAATTTCCAAATAAATTCTCGGCGTCTGTAAAATTTTTGCTCGCATCAACCGTGGGTTTTTGTTTTTTGTTTTTTGCTTCTGGGAGAAAATAAGGTCCATGCTTCAGTACTCGTCCGTTTTCAGGAAAGGAAGATTATTATTTTTTTCACCTACGAAGGAAAATAAGAATGAGAAGAACATATGTTTATTCAGTGGGTGAAGTAACGCAAACTTGAGGAGAATCCGGTCCAGTGGATCGTTCGTTCCGGAACGTTGGTGCCGCTGCTGATCCGCTCCGACGCCGTTTTACTCATGAACGCGAAGAAATCTTCCACTCACCGAAATCGGGCTTTCCTCAAAATTCCAACCCTATCTTATCATTCCCACTGCAAAGAATTTCTGAAATAATTTCCGGTCAAAATGCACTATAACGACAAGCCCCGCTGTGGCGTAAATCAAAAATATTTTAATCAACGGCGCGACCTTCATCCGAGATTCTTGAGGGGTTAAAATGCGAGACGAGAACATTATTTGATGGAAATTATTTCAACGCATAATTTTCTTTGAAAATTACTCGAACCATCGTTATGCATAAATTTTCATAAAAATTTCAAACTCGCATTTGAGTGGTCCTCATGAATGTCACTTTTGAAATTACTCGAGGTGGGAAAATTTGGAACATAGATTATTGGCACGATAAAACGTATCTTGACATTGATTATAATCCATTTTTGAATTTCACAAACGCAATCTGAGTTTTATCACGCGATTTTCATGGAGTCTGGTGATCATGAAGTGATTATAAAAAAAAAACTCAGGGGAGAAATTACTCTGAATATTATCCCGGAATTTCAATGGTTTACTCGAACTGCCGAGAGTTGATTTCAATTGAAAGTCAACTTGCCTTATTGCGTCAAAAAATTTTTCAAGTACATTCCAAAAACAGGCCATTCTCGTGTAAAGCATTTTACGAGAAAAGCTCAAGTTTTACATTTATTCGGAAAATTCTTCAAGTGTTATAGAACGGAATTTAATTTGCATGCATCAACTCCGCTTCGAGATGCGCAAAAAAAGGGGATCAGTCGAGAATTTTGTGGAAAAATATTCCGACCACGGAACAAATCGGATTCCTTCTCCTCACACCCGTTGATGCTTGCTCAAAAACCGGAACTCGGAAACGGCGGATCGATTTTCTCTGCCCGCTATTCGTTCTAGTCAACTTCTGGTCCCTGAAAGCCTGAACCGAGCACGCGCGTTCTTCATTCATTATCCACGCCAGTATTCTTTTTTTTCCTGGTCATCGCGATTTTGCTTTCGCTTAACAGTAAAACAGCACCGACAGTCATTTCGTGTCAGTTCACCAAAAATGTAACGCATTCATTCGAACAGCACGCGCATACANTTCATTCGAACAGCACGCGCATACTATATTTTGTTTTTAATTTGTCAAGAAAAAGTCAGGCGGGGGTCTCACTGGACAACAAAATCGTGGTCCTCGTAGGATTTCTCCCAAGAATGTATTTTCAAAATTTTTGACATTGTATGAATACGAGCATTCAAACCTGTTAGAATAACGATAGAACAGCCGATTTTAAGCTCCGATTATCGAGTGCACTGAAGAAACTATCCCGGTGAGAAAACTTGTTTTCCTTGTGTATCATGAACTGTTATACTGTATAATTCAAATGGCTTTCCAGTAATAAAATAAATTAATACTGGAAATTATAAATTTTCTTCATACGCGTGAGTAACTGAATAGAAAGCGGTATTCTTCCGTTATTAAAATGTTTCTGATCGCGATTTGAAGCACAAAAAGAAAAGGAACCAACGGAAAATCCCTAATAAATTAATTTCAAAAACGCATAAATTGTATCCCACTTGGTATCTGTAAATAGTTCAAAGGCACTCGAAATAACGACAGCGCGTTAAAAACCACTTCAACTCTCGTACCAAAAATCAGCGCAGCATAATTTTTAGCATTTTATTTTCAAATGTGTGTGCTGGTGAGATTGATTAGGCCAATGTCATACACTTGAGGATTATTCGGGAGGAAATCAAAAGTTTCCATTATTTTAGATTGTAAACGTCAGAAAATATCGGCGTTTGACTGGAAATTACTGGAACCAACACAAAATGAGAGCAAAGTACTACGTTCTTACATTGTAAATTAATCTGGACCAAGGTTCTTCAACTGTTGCAAGAGAATTTCGCCCTGAAGTTTATCGTCTAGTCCCGTTCTTTCAAAAATATGTTTTTTGTTGTTTCTGGGATACAATAAGACAATAAAGAAGAACGTTGTAAAATACTGTACATACAACACAATAAGTCCCAGCATGTTCATGTCTATAGAGCAAAACCAGCGGAAGCCAATAAAAATTAATCAACACACCCAAAATCCTCGCTTGTCGAGCTCAAAAATCAAGCGGCAACCTTTTCTATAAACACACACGGACACACCCAAAATTCTCGCATAAATTCTATCGTTTTTAAGCTTTCCTTTTCGGGCAATGGTTAAAAAAAACTACAGATTACACGCATTTTGCTGGGCATTGCACCAGGTGTGGCCTCGGTTAACACTCTGAAACAGCACCCCAAAGTGCAACGTCCTCGTTCCTTTTTTATGTTTTTTTTAACTTTTCGAAAAACAGCTGATGCGATGCCGATGGCCATCTGTGTCAAACTGCTCATTGTCATACTGAATTTAAACAAGGGTTCCCTTTAACAAGAAAGATGTTGTTACTGAAAGAAACGACGAAGCAAATTATGCATGACACCGGAATAAGAAATCAGTTCTCGACAAGTTTCGTCATCTGTTCGAGTCACTCGCAATAATTAGACAAATAGGCAATTCCTTCCGCATTGCTCCTTCAAAAAATATTTGACGAAACATCAAAAAAATTGGAAAAGATTTAATTCCACTTGGAAAGACCTATTTCGAACGATCTCCCGTTATTTTGGAAATTACGGTTTCTGGGAATTAAAACGGGGTAAATATTCTGGAAACTTCGTAAAAAAAATGTAAGAAACTGGAAAGCGAGAATTAATCAGCATAAAATTTAATTAAAATCGGTTCCTCGGGGAAAGAATTGCTGAAAATTGAAGCAAATTTTTTTCTAAGCTGAGAATTTCTCGCCGAGCAAAAAAGGTGACCTCAGCGGAATATTTCTAACCGCAGTCCATTTTTTAAGGAAAGAATATTCTACGATGCTAACGATGATTTTCATTCGTTTTTTTCTTCTTTCCGATATCGAATTGCAAAAAACATTTTGGACCCATGAAGGAAATCAATGTCTTGCGTAGCAGGCGGGATTGCAAATATTTTCTTCCCCACGGAAAATCTGTATTATCAACACTCCCGTGGCGTACAGCTAAGCAAGTGTACAGTATATTCACGGAGTTGCATATATACAGCAAGATTTATTAGCCGTAGAGAATAACGCAATGCTTGAGTCGATATTGCGGAACCCTGAGGCAAGCCAAGCAATTCCGCTCCATTCCTATAGCATATCATTTTTTTCTCTCTTCCTGGTAACCAGATATTTCTGCAATTTTCTATCGAGAATTAACCTTATGCAATAAAAATGCTTGCATCTTCTTTCGCGGATATTCAAATTTCCCACATCTTGAATCTTCAGTTTTATGCAATTATTTTTGCCAATTCCACCTCGATCCCTCGTGAGGCATCTGTCTTCAAAACGTTTATGACGCTTTTAATGCGGCGTTTGAATACTTATCGAAGAAATCGGTACTGTAAGGATTTATGGGGAAGAAATCATGTCCTGCTTGAGAGAATATCTCCAGGTAATTCCACGATATCTGGAAATCATATCCCGAATATAGCGCAAGGTACTATTTTCGAATTTTTCGCGGAATCTCTGCTTCAATACTCTGCTTCGATCTTGACAAATCGATAATTATAAAAATATTACACAATTTATGCCGCACGAAGAACACTTCGTTCTATTGAGAAAAAATTCTGAATTTTACTGAAATATCATCGGAATCACCCTCTATTTTGTCGCTATTTGATGGGGAAAAATTGCATATTTTTTCATGCATCCTCCACACATCACTTCAAGATATCGACACAAGAATTTCCAAGATATTCTTTCAGAGTTAAGTGACTGTACCAAACTTGGTAGAAGCAACTTATTCTACCAAAAATTAAATGATGAAGAACATGACGTATTACAATTTTAAAATACGGTATACAGTATATGCACTTCACTTTTCAAAAATAAACCGATAAAAACAACGATTGTTAATTGTGTATGAATTCAGACAGAAGTTCTTGAAGTGATGCACGACTTTTCCCCTTTGACAATTCTCATGCAATATTATTGGCTTCAGAAATTGTTTGATCAATGGGACGACATTTAACCAATAAAGAACACTATTGTAAACTGCACAAAACACTCTAAATCTCAGGGTACTGAAAATCAGTGCAAAACCATGGGAACAGCATAAAACGTAACGACCCCAAGTTTTCCCACACAGCACAAAAAACCTCTTTTTCAGCTCGAAAATGACACGGAAACCTCCTTCAAAAACGCGAACACTTCTTTTATTGCAGTGCAGAATAAGTGCCCCGATTCCCCATTCGAAACGCGATAAAAAGTTTCCAAATTGAAACTTCGATGAAGAAAAAAAAACAATAGAGTAGATATTTGAAAATAAACGAATAGATAAAAACCAGTTTTGCGTTGCATTTGACGGAATGCATAAGAAATACTAATCTCACCTGGTTTCCCAAGAGAAGTGGATGGCTTCGGAGACATGAGAGTAGTTGTTGGGCCAGCAGAAGTGACAGTGACGAGGCTCGTGATTCCGCCGTGTTGCTGGGATTGTTGGGCGCCACCTGCGTATAGTCGAGTCAGGGGCGCCATCGTGACCACTTTGCCGCCGGGCGATGGGCTCAGTTGGTGCACGGAGAAACCCGAAGAAGTCGGGCTCATGCCCATGCTGGCCCCACTGCCATCCCCGTAGATCACGTACGACGACGACGACGATGACAGGACAGAACCCGTCGGACTGATCCCTTCGCTCTGGCACGGGTACGGCGGCAATTCCTGCAAAATAATCCCCACATTTTGCAATTGCTCACAAAACACCGATTTCCACCAATGCAAAAATAAAAAGCTTCTTGAAAATTCGCATTTTTCTAGACTCGCAAATATTTTAAATACTACGAGGAACTCCTTGACTTTCTCGCGCTTCCCACAGGAGAATATACGTTTGCAAATGATTTTGTTGTTGTAATTTTCACTACAGCTACTTTCGATGACTCTATCGCATAAAGTTATTCAAAAATGTACACTGATTTTTCAAAGTCAAATAATTTAAACCTCGCAACGGATTTCAATTTAAACGAAATTGTCGAATTGTGGAGCATGAAATAACTGCTCCGATGCTCTGAACATGAATTTCCCTTACGAAATACTGAACAGGATTTTTTTTAAACAGTGAAGTAATACGAAAAGGGTCTCGTCTTTTATACACTATGATCATATTTCGTGAGAAAAAGTGCATCAGGGAATGCAATACTCACGAGATGAATATTTCGGTCGACACGAAAACCAAGATAGAACATGGAAAGCGTGAGAAAGTAATGGCTCAAGTGCAGCTATGATCATCACTTTGAATGTCTTGGCTTCTAGCCAACCCTGTCGTGAAATTCTGACGTTTTCCTTTTTTTCTTTCCAATTGTACGTCATCATAACAAGCGATATTCTTTATGGCTCTTTAGCTGATATCAAGACGTGCAAACGATGCCGAAAGTAGAACCAAGTGACATTACAACTTCAAAGCGCTTCTTTTATTTCATATTTCCAAAAATGCCTTGAATTTCAATTGGTCAAAAGACTGAAATACGACGAAGCATATGTTGCCTGCCATGGATGAAATACTTCACGAATATCTTTAAATTATTCCCTAACGAACCAAAATGCGAAAAAAGTCTGCGGAAATTCCTCATAATTTCATCATTGTATTTTCGCAAATAATTATCGATTCGGATAACAAACGAAAATTTTGAAAAGGCAACTGCACGGGAACAGCGCTTCATTCTTGATCGTCGGATTTTCAATCTCGAAGTAATTTTCTGTCGTTCAATAAACGCGACCAGAGATGAACAAGTTAGCTGATAATTAAAGTAGGACCAATATAAGTTAAACAGGGAATAAACGGAGATTTCATTACGTCTTTTGTTGCTGCAGCAACTTCGTGCTCGCCAACTTAATTCCGCCCACGGAAGGACTTCAATAACCCCGAGCGGCCCTCCATTAAGACAGACTTGGAATTGATTGATCATGAACTCTCTTAAAGTCATTTCCACGTTAATCGAGGACTTTATTCCGAAATGACCGGAGATCCAGTTCTTCGAGAATGGAGTCTTCGCTCAAATCGGTCCATATTCGAGATCATTAATGTGATTTACGAGCAATACGTCGGATGCTGTGAAAACTTCATTAGGGTTTGAAGGCATTTATGACGCAACGGGAATAGTTTTCATTTCTTTCAGCTAACTCTTTTTTTTTTTTTTTTTTACAGCAGTGAATGATTAACAGCAATGGCATTAACTCGAGTTCACGCCGGGGAATCACGTAATCGGCAAGTTCGAATTATCAAACCCGAATTTGCATAAACTCTTTCCATGATTTGCATGAAGTCGGCTGAAAAAAAGACCCAAAACTCTGGGAACCCAATAATTTTCCCGTCTTTCGATTCTTACTTTTATTACCTTAAAATCTTAAATGAACCAAGAAGAATCTCCAAAAATCCCTATACTGCTTGCATAGACTGATGAAAATATTTTTATCTGCTGGAGATGCATGTTACGTTTGTGACTCAATTTTACCTGAATAAACTAAATTTAACCGGGCCTCATATTTATAACCATGTTAATGCGAGCTTATTTTAATAATGGAAGATTCGCCAAGTGTAAGCTCTTCGTTTATTTTTTACCATATAAAATAACCTCTTGAAAATTTATAAATTTCGCCTGCTGATAATTTATCGCACTTCATGCGAAACTCAGTGCCACTAACAGTTTTTCATTTGTATTTCATTTCAAGTTAGCATGTAACTAAACTATACTCATAATATTGATTCCATCCGCTAAACATTGAGAAAATATTAGTTTTACATGCGTTCTTCGTCTTATTTTGACATTTTAGAAGCTAATGAAAAATTCTAAATCAATCAGACGTAGAAAAAAAACGCTCAAAGATTAGTCATTGATTTCCTTACAACAACACCAAAAAAGCCGAATTGCCTTGTAAGAAACAGGATAAGTTGAAGGGAAGTTCTCAACAGGATTCTCAGCAAAAATCCTTGCTCTTTCAGCAAACAAATTTTGATACTGTATGATGTGGAAATAAAAAATGAAAGGATGAAAAGAAACAAACCTTGTACATTCCTTGGGATGAATCCTGTTCCGGAGTCATAGGAGTCGAGTGAACGACATCCTGGGCAGCAAAGAGCCCACAAGTGGACACGTCCTCATCAAAGGGATCTTCTTTCTTGACAACAGCCCGCAAATGGCCGCCGCCTCCAGTGTCAACGTACAGACACGACGTCGCATCCGCCTCAAACTCGTCCATCCCTTCCTCTTCTTTCTTGACGATGCACATGGGCTGCGGAAGCGACGACGACGTCGATGACGCCGACGACGACGAAGACGATGAGGACGACGTCGACGACGAGGCCGTTGTCGGCACCGGGGCGTCGTCGAAAAACGACAAGTGCCCAAAGTCCGTCGAGGCGTCGAAAGTGACGCCTGTCACTTTCCCGACGCTCGAGCCGGAGGATGGACCAATGGCCTGCAAGCTACTGCTGTCGATTTTGAAGACGTCCATCGTGGCGTCGAGCGAGAAACCGCAGTCCGTCCCGATTTTCAACTCAATTTTTGCGACGAAAACCGAAGCAAAAATTTACAACGAAGAATAATGAACAGAGACAGATGAAAGCACGATAGAGAACGGGGGGCTTCACAGAAGTTCTTCAGTCCTATTTTATTTTCGCGGGCCCCGCGTCAAGAAAATAACGTTGTCTTGAGCCTCGTTCTACGGCGCATGTTCGGGAATGGAGGCACCGACACTTTTCGCTCTAACCGCGATTTTTTATGGCGTAGCCGCCAAAACAAATTTCCGTCATTCACAGATGCGATTCATGTTCAGGCACGCACACACTAACCACCTGGGGAGAATACAAATTCCAATCAATGTTTCTAATCAGCAAAGGACATCAATTCACGTCCGAATGCGAATGATCCAATAGTATTTCAGCCGAACACTTTGAATTGCTAATCACTTGGTCCCCCAGGTTTCCGTCGAGAATTGAGTTGCATAATTTGCCCGCGTGGTTTATTGAATATAAATATCCCTCAATCAGTTACACCTTCATGGATAATTCATCTCACCGCTGCATGAGTAGGAAGCATGGCAAATTTGAAATAACCTGTGGTTTGATTGCAGCTTTAATCTACGCGCAGAAATTTGAATTTATCTATCAGAAAACCTCAGAAAACATATGGATAATTCATCTCACCGCTGCATGAGTAGGAAGCATGGCAAATTTGAAATAACCTGTGGTTTGATTGCAGCTTTAATCTACGCGCAGAAATTTGAATTTATCTATCAGAAAACCTCAGAAAACATTCAAGCTAAATGACTTCGAAGCAGCAAACGAATATTCATGCGTGAAATATTATTGAAATTCTGTTCAGTAAAAATCTTTGATCGAATGATGAGGAATGCTTGTATAAATTTCTTGGATTTTTCGCTCCCTCCCCCTAAAACTATACTTGAATTCATCGCCGCGTTTTCGAAAAACAAAACTCGAAGCTTTACATGGTCATTTCTTCCCAGAATTGAATGGGCTGATGTGAATCGGTATCATTTGAAGCGAAAAATAATAAACAATCATTGATTATGATTAAATCGGCTTTGAGTGTTCAGAAAGGGAAAACATAGTTCAGCCTTTTTTTTAATATAGGTGGCGATATTGAACACAAAATTTGATGGAATTGAAAGAAATAGCAATAACATATTATTGTTTTTAGGATGATTAAAGATTTTTGGGAATATTCTGAAGCAGAGTTTACGCAATAACCATTATTTTAAAACGTGTTTTTGTCACTTTGACTAGTGATGTCAGGGAAAGGAACCGAATGGGCCGCTTGAAGCTAGAAATTTCGAATTGAAGAATGCGACCAACGTATTTTTTCAGGTGTAAAACACGAATTGCGGCAGGCATTTTGATGTCACATTTTTATAAACCATCTTCTCATTCAGAAAAATATCTTAAATTCTAAGAACAGTCCGGATTTTGGCAACTGAACAGCGCTCGATTTTTTACGTGTTTTAAACTCAAAGCAATTGATCGTTCCACTTTTCGAATTCAAGTCGGGAGGAATCAGAAACGCATGAAGACGATATTGACTATATATTCCTGAATTAATCGCTACCATATGAATGACTATCTTGAGCCAGGGTTCTTCCCTTCAGTATTGCACGAGGCCTACAAATCTCGTAAATCGCAGTTTACAGTACATGCCTTTTACTCAGCAAAATATCTTCCCACTTCTCATACAAATCTACATCATTTCACCAGAATCATCAGCAAGAATAAACAGAAAAATATGCTCTTTCTCATGGAAACATTAATCTTGGTCAGCGAAGAAGGTAGTTATGACAAAAGCGGAAAGAACGCGAAGCCTGGCCATTCAGCAACAATGAGAAACGTGGGCGGCTCAAGGAATACCATTTGCCAAGAAGGGGGCAAAATGAACGGGTGTGCTGCTCTTTTCATTTCTGCACGAAAAAAAAAACCAGCTGCGCTCGCCAGATAGAAAAAAGGAAGAGACGCTTCCGCTTGCCTCCCCAGCACTTCCGGAAACCCCCGTCGCCGCCGTCGTCGTCGACGGAAAACGGGATATCCTCGCTATTTGCATGACAAAACCTTTTCGTGCTGCATCCGGTAGGAAGTTTCAGTCTGGCTAAGCCACAATTTAGTTTCTAGTGAATAATAATTGCGCAATCGTCGCAAGATCCGCAAATTTTACCTATTTATATTTTTAAACAAAAAACCGTATTTTTTTCTATTGATTTTAGGAAAATATTCCCTCGCATATTTATGAAAAACTCAGATGGAAAAAATTCTCAACACAAGCAGAAACAAACTTTCATCAATTTGAAAATTAATCTTGACTGCCACAATTTCCCACAGCCACATATACACATGTATATGAGTTTAAGTTTACTGTAGTTGTTAAGATTTCCACTTTTCATGCAGTCTATTTTCCCAATTCCAATTTCCGAACTTATGAAAGCGGTAGCTCGAGTACAGTAAAAAGAAAAACAAGTCCATTGTGCGAGACGTCCATTAATCCGACCTTGGAGGATTTTTGGCGGCGGAGCCCCAGGGAACTCCAGGAAGATCTCCAAAAGGGATCCGCGCAGGGATCCACGGCGCATTGCAAATTTAAAAATAATTTGGATTGAAAAACTCTGCTTATCTAGGATCTCTTGTCCCACTTGGAGTTCTTATGGGCGCTCCTTTGGAGGAGACGAGGAGGAAGCAAGTAATTAACAGGTGCGGCAAAATAAAAAAAGGGAGGGAGGTAAAGGGGTTGGTGGTGAGGTGTGAGAGAAGGGACGACCAGAGGTCGGTAAGGCGGGGGTTCTCCGTCCTCTTTCTATTCCTTCCCTGCGTCATTTTGCGTCTGTTTTCCTATTTTATTTTATTTTTCTATGCCTCTTTATGCTTTCTTTTCTGTGCTTTCTGCACTTCCTTCCTGCTGGGTTTCTCGCGTGACGGCGTAGAAAACAGAAGGAATGACGGACGGTGTTGTGTCACCATGTGGTACCTAGAGTCTGGGTGGATGGAACAAGGGTGCGTGATGGGTACCGGGTAGCAAACGACGGACGATAATGTACCTGAGTCGACGCGTCCAGCCTTTCTCTTTTCGAAGCTGAAATTTATACATTTCTGTCATCCATTTAAAAAAAAATAGAATAGTCATAGTCTCAAGAAATAAGAAAATTTAAAGCATTAGTCCGCTCTCCTGGTGAGTCAGAATGAACCTCCAAGATTGCGTGATTTGAACAGGAACATCTTTCATGCTGAAATGTCAAGCTACGGTATTTCACACACTCTTGGGGATTTTCATTCTCTAACTTGTTTCTAGAATCAGGCAAGCAGTCAGGTCGAATTGAATCAAAATCTGCAGAAACCTAAATTAGTTCGTTTACTTCGCTTTGATAGATTCATTGAAGTCATTCGGAGGTTGTTGTCCAAAGCACACCTTTCTCCAGGAATTTAGAAAAAATTTCCAGAAAATGTTTAAAGTATTACGAAGCCTAATATTTTCGCAGTCGTTTAATTAAGTTAAATTCAGCCACTGTATCTCCGACTGGGACTTCCGCTACTCCGCGTCTTCGCTGGAAATTAAGGGAAATTTGAATTGAGCCCGAAGTCAGTCAGCATCGCAAATGGCAATCCTCTGAAATAAAACATTGAATTTTTACATCAAATGATGCAACGGGGTAATAGATTTATGGAGCTGGACAATATTTAATAGCCGTAAATCAATTTTGACGCGGATTCTTTGATTTCGACAGGCTTAATTACTCGTCTGAAGAGCCACTTCCGCCCCATACTTTCGCTCGCTAACTTCGTCCGGGATGCCATTTGCGTATTTGCTATTTTCTTTACTGCGCGTTGACGAGCCATAATAGACTGGAATTTGCACAGATGCACATCGGAAAAGGTAAAGGTGAAACTTCTGTTAATGCAAATCAAATATTTTTCCAGCAATTTTTTTAGGATCTATCATTTGCAGCTTTGCAGTTTCATCTTCCTTGCCTCATGCTTCAATAAGTATCTGGTGCGTCGAGGAAAATCTCGACTCTGAGTAGCGTGAAACGCACGTGTTTCGCAATCAGAGAAAAACAAAAGAATTTCTCAAGTAGGGCATTTTTTTATTTTTCTTTTCCATCATGCGAGAATCTTTAGCATTAATTGACGTCCCCAATGACCCCAGAATCGTCCCCGAATTTACGAGGCAAAGCTTGACAACGGGAGAATCACCCTGCTTTCTCAATATCTACAACATAAGATTTTGCTAAGATGATGAAAACCTTTCATTGAGGGAATACGCAAAAGAATTTAGTTTTTTATAACTCACGTGGAACGTGCAAACCGCTCAATAACATGAATGGGTGCAATTATCCGAACAGCTGGAATATTTGGCACGAAGTACCAACATCTAAAAAAAGTTCAGAAAAAGCCAACCTCAGTAAAAAAAAAAAAAAAAAAACTATTAATAATTTGATACTGTGAATTTGAACGGGGATCGAAGTAATGCTCATTTTGCGCGTTAATTCGCAAAAAAATTATTTCAATTTCAATTTTAACTGAAATCCAGTTTTTATCGAGTTCGCTCTTCTTTGAGAATCCTTTTCAGAAATTTCTCGTTCTCTTCGGATATTATACGAGCATATTGTCACCAAAAGTGATTAAGAATCGAGCCTCGCTGAAAGTCAATGATGATCTGAAATCCGCGCTGGATATATTCTCAAATGAATCTCTTTCATTTCCAAAGGAATGCAAACACCCCGAAGGCAAATAATATGTCCACAGAGACTCGCTCCTGACGTTGGATGGGTTCATATGGATTCTCACTAACACTCGAGCCATTAGCCTCAGCGCCAGATGCCGCGGGTACGGGATGGGGGTAACGCTGCTCTGGATTGTACCCCCCACCCCTGCGTTATCACTAAGATAAGAGCCAGACTGGGGTGAGGGTTTCAGCGTTGTTGCTGCTGAGCAAAAGACGCTCAGATATACTGTATTT